AGGTGATCAGAGGAGGTAATCATCGGGGCAGAAAAGCTAGCCACAGTTTGAAACGTTATGCTTGTTTTTTCGTTCAAATTACGGACCGTGCCCTTTCAGGCGGACAATAGCACAGTTAAAATACATGAACGACGCCTGCAAACCAGGAAAACATTTTGAAAAACCTAGGCCCGGCACTCGTACTTGTCCTAATTACATCACCTCTTTCGGCCAACGAAGGTCAAAGTATATAATATTGGCCGTCCCTACACAATTTGATCCAACACTAAGGGTTTTGGTAGATTAAGTGGGCAATATCCTTCGCCTCTTCATCGGCACTAGTTAGGCATGAATACAATAAGTGAAGATAGTCCTTCTTAGCAGCTGTTTCCCCTTTCTTTTAGGTTCTCCTACGCTCCCTCAGCGTCTGATTGCTGTTTGTGACATTTCGGCAGACCCCAATGGATCCCTGCAGTTTGTGCAGACCTGCACCACCATCGAGAAACCCTTCGTAATCTACAACCCAGAGACCAACACGGAGACTGAGGGGTAAATCCACTGAAAACTCACCTGTTTCAAGTGACTATTCAAAAAATCGATATAGTAGTCGATATTTGCGCAGTCACTTGATTGAGATGCGGCAGGTGACCATCTGAGCATGGATTGTCGAACTGTCCTGGCTGTGAAATTACTTAGATTGTGCTTTTTAAACCTAGGAGTTTTAACTGCATGAGACGCCTTATTATAGCAACTTACTGTATTATTTTAGAATATCTGGTGATGGCTTCCTGGTATGTTCCATTGACAACATGCCAACACAGCTGCCGGTGGAGTCATCCACTTTCTTCGGCGATGGTCTCATGCCCTACATCGACGACATGCTTCTCTCCGACGCTAACACACCCTTCGAGGAATTCAAGGCCGGCCCGGTTATCAAGAACGTAGGTCGACCGCGCATAGGCATTCTCTATAGAAATGAAATAGGGAAATTCTTAACATGCTCTGGCTTACCACAACATCAATAAATAGCGAGCGAAATCAAATTTATTAGACAGACTGCGTCTAATAAGAATTCGACAACGAGGCTTCGCGTACCACATGAACAGAAGGTTTCCTATACTCAGCATGAACTTCTAATTGAATAAAGTAGTCGCCAGACCATAAAATT